CTATGAAAGGATGGGCATGGCCATGAAGGACAATAGCCTGGCTGTGACATATGATCGGGTCAGGAAGGATGGCTTGGGCACAGAGCACGCCTGGCCATGAAACATGCCCTGGCTACCCTGTGTTCCCAGGAAATCCACATCCCTGGTATTCTCTGTGTTCCCAGGAAATTCACATCCCTGGTATTCCCTCTGTTCCCAGGAAATTCACAGACATGCTTTCATTAGAATAAAGAATGAAACAGGACTCGGAAAGATCGCTGTCAAGCTAGAAACATAACAAGAGAATAAACTCTGCTAATAAACACAGGGCTATTTAAAAAGAATAATTTGAATTAGTTCTGTAGTTTAACGCACTTTAGATTCGGTGTGATCACTCAAGACAAAGACTCTGAGAATCCTTTTGGTTTGACGCGCGTTCCTTGCAGAATAGAACACAAAACACGAGGTTGTGTGAAGTACATGTAACTGGAATATGAACACAATGTATGCACGTATTAAGTAATACACAAACATTTGATGCCCGCAGACTCGAAACAGGGGGAATTGTACCCGTGAAAGCGGCACGGAGCCCCCGGCGCTGCCGCCATCCCGGTCCCCTCAGCCGTTCCGCCATCCGCGGGTTTGTCCCAGGTTTGCACCGCTGTTCCCCCGGGCCACAACAGCGGGTCCCTGCCCTGAACCCCCGAACCCCCGCCTGCCTCCCCCGCTCTGCCCAGGGGCGCGCCTGGAGCGCGGCGGAGGAGACTGTCACCCTGCGCTGTCCCTGTCACCCTGCGCTGTCCCTGTCACCCTGCCTTGGCCCTGTCCCTGTCCCTCTCTCTGTTCTGTCGCTCTCCCTGTCCCTGACACGGTCCCTCTTCCAGTCCCTGTTCCGGTCCCTGTCCCTGTCCCATCCCTGTCCCTGTCCCTCTCTCTGTTCTGCCCTGTCCCTGTCCCTGTCCCTGTTCCATCCCTGTTCCATCCCTGTCCCTGTCACTGTTCCATCCCTGTCCCTGCCCCCATCCCCGTCCCTGTCCTTCTTCCTCTCCCCATCCCCATCCCCATCCCTGTCCCTGTCCCTCTCTCTGTTCTGTCCCTGTCCCATCCCT